CCCCTGCTTGTGTTCCCTCTCTCGCTGTGTCTCTCTCTGTCAAGTAAATAAATAAAATCTTAAAAAAAAAAAAAAGTCTAAGTACTAAAGGACTTGAACATAAATACACGAATTAAGATTGGGGAGGAACAGCCAGAACACCCAGATCAAGGTTGTCTGGACTAGGAGAGGACAGAAAATAGGAGGGAGGTGATGATGCGGCACTGCTGAGGATCCCCACCAGTGGCCCAGAGCCCTGCCTCCTCCCCTACCCACCTCTGTTCCCCACCCACACCCTCCCACCAGCTCCTGGTGCAGATGATAAAACTCTCCGGTAACCCAGGGGTTAAGAGGAATACGTACCTCACCTGGCAGGTGAAGCGTAGGTGAGGAAAAGAAGTTGTAAAGTAGCCCCAGCCTGGTGGGAGCCACGGAGGAGAGTGGCCGAACAGCCTGCCTGGGCTGAGAGGGTGTGAAGCAGCACCGCAGCGTTCCTCATGGTCCCAGAGCAGTGCAGTGGGGAATGCTCTGGAAACAGCCACCACGTTCAGGGACAGGTGACAGGAAGCCATGTCGGCCGCAGGTGTGTCTGTGACGCCAGCACAGATGGACACCAACAGCTGAGACTTAGATGATGCCCCTAATGCTCTCCATAAAGAGCATTCTGGAACTTAGAAACCCAGGCAGGGAGACCCTGGATTAAATGAGATTTCTCTGAATTCAAGGAGGCTTGATGTAGAAATGGAGTTAGGTCACGGATTAATCAGGACACTTACGTTTCCTGGACACCTCTGGTTGTGGACTGAGATTTGTGACTGCTCCAAAGTGCTGTAGGTCCCTGGGGGTTCCTCGGGGTGGGCAACAGAGAGGTCTCCCAAATGAGGAAGGAGATCAGAAAGGCTCTAATCCTCCCACCTTTTCTTGTGAGGTTGGTTTTCAGACCTGGTGGCAGGGAGGCAGAGAGGAGAAGGGGCTCTCTGAGAAAAGAAGGCCCTGACTGAAGGCCTCACAGGCCCGGGCAGTCCTGGGCACTGGCCCCAAAGCTGCTCTGTGCTTGCTCACTCCTCTGGGCCGCAGCTTCTCATCTATAAAATGAGGAGCTTGAACCCACTGTTCTCCAATGTCCAAGCCCGGATGTGCCTTGAGTCTATGACTTGGGAGTATATTGCTTCTCTTTAGATACAGTGAAGCTAGCAATGCCTGCTTCTGCCCTGATGTAGCAATGCAGCCACATGCCACACTGCTACCCTGGGAAGCTGAATGTGCCTTACTAATGAGAATATTCCTTCCTCAGAGGAGATAAAGGAACTGATTGATCAACTGGGTGAGGGAGGACGGAGTGTGCATGAGCTGCAGAAGTTGAAGAAAAAATTGGAGATTGAGAAGGAAGAACTCCAGGTGGCCTTGGAGGAAGCTGAGTCTTCCCTGGAGGTAACCACGTGGCCATCACCTTCGAGGCTGGACCCTTGGCCAGGGACCACGCTCCTACTTGGCCAGAAAGACTGATGTTTATATTCCCGACAGGTTGAAGAGAGCAAGGTGATTCGAATTCAGCTGGAACTGGCTCAGGTGAAAGCTGACATCGACCGGAGAATCCATGAGAAAGAAGAGGAATTTGAAGCTACGAGGTATGGGGCTAAGGCAATGGGAGGCTGACTTGAGGTAGCATGATGGAGTAGAGTCCAGAAACCTGGGCCTCCGCCACCCACTAGTCATGTGACCTTAGGCAATTTAGGTGAATACTTTGAAATACAGTACTTAAGTGATCACAAAACCCCATGAGATAATAACCTGTAATAATTCAAATATGGACAAAGGACTTAACTAGACATTCCTCCAAAGAAGATATACAAATGGCCAATAAGCACATGGAAAGATGCTCACTATCACTTGTCATTACGGAAACACAAATCAAAACTACAATAAGGGGCGCCTGGGTGGCTCAGTCGGTTGAGCGGCTGCCTTCGGCTCAGGTCATGATCCTGGAGTCCCGGGATCGAGTCCCGCATCGGGCTCCCTGCTCGGCGGGGAGTCTGTTTCTCCCTCTGACCCTCCCC